CCCATTGGACACAAAGATGATTCCTTTGAAGACATGTCACTATTAGACATATTGACTTATTTTCCTAATTCCTGCTGAGTCGCAGGAATAAAACTTGGGATTCACTGAGTACTGGGTTCTCACAAAGGTATGGCCTCTGAGAACACCAGGTCCTGGGAGTGTATCAGAATCACAGCTTTCACTTAAAAAATACAAGTTTCTAAACTTTCCAACTGTGCAGAAAAGTTTGAAAAATGTAACCAATGAAAGGATGATTGCCTAAAATGGCTGATGTCAAGTTGTTTTAAGGAAACATATCACCACCACAATTATTTCTATTACTCCTACAACTGCTATTTCCTTAGCACCTACACTCATACCTGAGATCAAGGCCCCATTGTGCTAGACAGTTTAATTTACAATTTAAATAAACAAGGGAAACAGAGAAAAGATTATTAAATCTGCTTTTCAGATAAAGAACTGAGGGGAAATATTTTTTTCTCTGAAAGAATTCAGTTTTCATTTGGGCACCAAAATAATCACCTAAATCCTAAAAAGGCAATAAAGCCTCCTATCTTCATAAGTTTAGAAGTGGCTATATTTACTAAAAAGACAAAAAAATACCACAGCAAAACCAAACCAAGTGCCACACAACTTAATATCCCCTTAGGGTTCATGTACAATTTTGTGAATCACCACACCCACATATAGTTGCAACCTTTGCTCTCTTATCCCTTTGTTCTTTCAGTTTTTCTTGAAAGCACTTGTTGGGTCCTCTGTGCTTATAGGGTGGAAGCTACATCATCTTCATATTCTATAAACCATCTATCACATTTATTAACCACATAAATATAAATGGCTGTACAGCTGTGTTTAGGGATGGAGACTTTTTTGTCTTAGAAAATTGTCTTTTGTCAGACTGAAAACATTTTGGACAAAGGCACCAATCTTCGCCCCATTTGTTTGTATCAGACAAAAATGAGATTTTTTTTTTACAGGCTTTGCCAGCAGTCCAAATTTTTTTGGACTCACCTATCCACAGCCAATTCCAGATTACATCATGGGAAGTGGAACGCAGGTGTTTCATGTTATTGCCCAGATTTTTCTCCACTACCAGATCTTTGAAAGGGATGGGAAATATGCCAAAAAGTTTGTTGTACTGTAAAAGTCTTGGCAAGACATTCTACAAGGTTACAAATGGCAAGCTGTGGCTGGCCAGAGGATATCCATTCATTGTAGGACTCTATAAAAGGTGGTGTATTTTTAGATATACATGGAGAAAGAATGGATTCAGTTGTGGGTTACTCTGACTTCATTTCTTCAGTTTGCACATAGTCTAATTATATAAGAACTGAACGTCTGGAGTATTTTTTGGACTACAAAGGAGAAATGAGTCTGATGCTGTTAATTTACCAAAGTCAAGGCTTTTATTTTAGGTCTGGAGGGTCTAGTTTCAACTCCTGGTAATAACAAAAATTAGAATCTTATGTTTGTTACAAGTTCTGCATTTGCCTGTCAATATATCCTAATTGAAACCAAGGTCCTGTTATGGAATGATATAAGTGGAAAAACAGGAAGAAGTATAATGCAAATTAGGAAAATTGCTTAACTCACAAATAGTCACATTCCCTAGTTCTCTCTATAGAGCTCGGAGCTTCCATCTACTAATGAGCTCTGGACAAATTTTACTATCTAGTCCTCATGTGATATTCTAAGCTTCTTGCCTCAGGGGATTGATAAAGATTTGTTTTTCTTCTATAAAAGGAAGGACTGTATTTCTTTCTTCTGAAAGCACATTTTATTCACTTGTCCTCTTATAACAAAGCATTGGTTTCCCAGCTTTATTGGTCTAAGGAAAAAGGTTTTTTTTTAAATCACCCAAATTCTCTTAGAACTTTTTGAAACTGAAAATTCCTATAAGGGAGTTTCCTATTACAGGCAAGTAAGGTTTTCTACATGGTTTAAATTCCTATCCTCAGAGGTATAAATTGTGTGTAGGCATGGAGAAAATCAATCAATTGTACTATAGCAGATGAAAATAGTAAACATCTAACATGAATATGATTCACCATATGCTTACAATGTCAGGACTCTCAGCAATGCAGGAATCAAACAATTATACTGGATTGGAGGGTCAGGAAAAAACATTAAAAAAATATTTTAAGTTCAACAGTTGTGGCTCATTTCTAATCTCTAATGCGTGGGCTTGCATTTCTGTGCATCTTGGAAAATATACTTCTGGGCATGGGTGTGAAAGCACAATCATGGATTTTTCAAGATACCTGGTGTTATGCATTTGAGTATTTGAGATTAGATTTGAGCCTTTAGTCTCTTTCAAGTGCTTAAATAACTGCCTCTCTAGGCTCAAGCCAAATCAGACTCAAGAAGTAGCGGCAGCAGCATTTTAAAATGGATTTTCAGAATTCTCTTTCTGGATGTATTTCATACTTATCTCTTTTCAGATCAGATAGGAGGTGCTCTGACTCACCCATTTAACATCAGTGCTCAGCTTTGAGTCATGCCCTTATATTTACATGAACTCTCTTGTCCAAAAAGAGAGGCAAACAAAAAAAGAGAAAAGTATCAAAATGTCTAAAATCATTTAGGGGCCAAAAAGCTACTTTCCCCAAAGACATTGTACGTGTTCTTGATAAATTTTGAAGCATGTTTTCTTATTCAACCTTCAGTAAGTTCCTCTCTTTGACTGATCTAGTTATTTGATGAACTCTTATTGTCAGATTTCCATCTAAATGCCATGTCTGTTCAGTGTTCACCACACAATACAACCTGAAGCTCTGTGGGATACCCAGCCTTATACCCAATCACATGATCTTCACAGCTAGACTGGGGATGAGAAGATGTTTTTATTACGCTCTGTGTCTGAATTTCAAGTGCTTAGTTGATAAGCACCTGACAAGTGATCATGAAAATGTACCAGTACATACAAAATATACTCACCCATCCTTTACCATGACAATGAAAGAAAAAGGAAAATCTAATCTTTTATTTGGGAAGTTAATTTTTTTTCCCTAAGTATGAAAGAAAGTGAAATTTGATTGCTTTTTGTTTGTCATTGTCTTCAAGGATCAGGCTCTAATGATGGGTTTTTTTACCCCTTACCTGAGACTGGCAAGTCTCATTATTTCCTGTCTCTGGATCACAAAAGACTCATTGCTTTCTGCTGAAAATTTTTTTTTTTTCTGCTGGAAAAAAACTGGACATGGAAAAAAGAACATTTTTGATTTGAAAATGTTGCAATGATCCTGCAGTAGAGTTGAAAGTTAGGTGGCTCAGACACTAATTCTCTATGAACCAAGTTTTTCAGACCGACTGTCTCTCTAGCTGCAATGCAGGATGGACTTCTGTGATGAATGATGGTGTCACAATGTAAGAAGAAATAGTGATGCATCATGCAAGCTGTATTCCAGGCAGAGCACATGACTCCTAAAGGAGAATAAAGCACCTAAGTTACATCAGTTATATATATCAGCCATGTTAGTCCACCTGCTATTTGGTATTTTTATTTGGGGGGGCTATTAAAAAAAAGTTGCGCTTTTCCATTTTTCCAAAAGAAACGTTATTTTATGACCAAATTAAAGATATCGCTAAAGCTGAGTTTAGTGGATAAATTGAGATTTGTACAAAAAATCAACTTCAACGAAAGATGTTAAGGTATTCCAAGAGATTCAATTTAGCAGGATGAGCTGTTGGATAACATTTTCTTAGTTTCTCAAATAACTCTCCAAAAATATTTATTCCTTCACTATTGAATCAAGCATAGCCTTCTAATCAGAAGGGGGGGCATATTTGAAATAGTTTCAACACAAATTTAAAACAAACTGATTTTTGGAAGGTCCAAATGAATATTTTTCTCCCTTTCCTCATTATTGCATGATACGGTACTGCTTGATTTTTAACAGAAGTAGGATTAGTGCTGTATTGCAACAAAAGCTTTTCTCATGGTGTTTTCAGACTTGGCCAAACCCAGGAATTAGTGGAAATCCTTGTGAGAATGTCTGCTTATTTCCCGCCCAATGAGATTTGGAAAAGTATTCAAACTTTTGGATGTTTAACTAAACCTTGAAACCTTTGGGGATTGTCACATTGGGAACTGTGATAACTGCAGGTTTTATTATATGCCTTTCTCCTGCTATTTAATGTCCAATTAATTTCATGATAGGATACATTAAAAAAAGATACTTCTTACATGAAGGAGGGTAGCACTGTTTCTCCATTGTTTGTTGTCAGGTTGCAAGGGCTAGCCTAAACCAAAAGTAAAGATTTAGAATGACTTAATTTCAATTAGGATTTAGAGGAGAATTAAGTAACAGTTTAAAATCCTGTTTTAAGTGATGACCTCAAGCCTTTAAACCCCATCCCCACACACTTTTTTTTTCTTTTTAAAGGAAACCCAAACATGGCCCTGGGTAACAAACATCTTTCTGACCCATATAAAAGTCAAGTCACCGTGCCAATATATGGAAATTATTTTCCTCTTTAACATGTCTTGCTAAAGAGATGGCTGAAAATAGCGTGCTGTTTGCTAGTAGTCCTCTTGATAAGAACACTCCTTGTTGTAATGACAAAATAACAGCACTTAAGAGCATGGTTACAGCACTATCATTTGTCCCATTACAGCTGTCCGTAGAAATCTACCTTTGCCAATTGCGGCTGTAGGAATATAAGGTGCAATATGCAGAGGGTTCATACTTGGACTTGTATACTTAACTGCTACCTAAAATCTATTTAGGGATTTGTGGGAGGAGAATTTTAAAAATATTAGGCCCCTAATTCCTATTGAATTCACTGGGAGATGGACATCTAAAAACCTTTGAAAATCTGATCCTTAGTCATGAAACAGACTATATGAGAAGTCCCCATTGACTAGAATGGAACTATTTATGTATCAAAAGATAAGAGCAATCTTAAGTGCTTGGCTGGATCATAGGCAGGCAAGATTCTTGGAGTAGCTGTGGTATCCTTTATTAGACCAACTGAGTAGTTGGAAAAAAGTTCTTAGCAAGCTTTCGGGCACAGTCACCCTTCTTCAGGCATAGGGAGTCTCTGCTGGTTGGATCATGGCTTTAAAGGAGTGCCTTCCAGAAATATTTAGAGTAGAAAGGACCTCTATACAGAAAAAAGGTTTCAATCCGCCACTGACAGTGTTCATAGATTTCATCCATGCAGAGTGTTTTGCCAGACCTGGGCATAAAAAGCAAAGAATATCATTCAATGCAGCATGGTTTTGGCTCGTAGACAAAAGGAAGAACATATGGGGCTCAAAAAGATATAGCGAGCTTTGTTAAAGAGTTGTACATGCTTCAAAATATATAAAGAACATGTAAAATATCTTTGATGAAAATAGATTTTTGGCCCCTAAATCATTTTAGACATTTTGCTGCTACTTTTTTTTCCTCTCTCTTTTTGGACAAGAGAAATCATTCAAAGACTTGTTCACTAAGGCTCAGAAGGAGCCTGCATCTCTATAATTCTTGACTGTCTGCCCTTTATTTGATGTCACACAGCCAGGTCAGACTTTAATGCACATGGAACCTAGAAATCAAGAGGTCTAAATTGTTAGATCTCTTGATTTCTAGGAGTGATCTAGAAATGTAAAGGAGGAGTCAATTTGAATATTTTCAGCTCTTTGCATTTGGAAGAGAGCCTTTGGATAGGGTGAATGTATTTCTGCACCTTTCTAAACACTATACAATATTCACTAACCTCTCTTCAGCTGTTAGGACTGGCTTTGGGTTTGTAAAAGGCCAAACACACACAGGCCCCTTTTGATCAAAGATGGGGGAAGATGGGCAGTGTACGTCTCATCCTGAATCTGGTCATAGTGGGACTATTGCAAAGTAGCATCATGCAGCAAAGCCGACACTGTTGGTTACCATAAGTAGGAGGCTTAACAGTATGAGAAACAGCTTAGTTTAATGGGATTCCTATGTTTTTATCATGGTTCCAGAACTGAGTGTACAAATCAATGAACTTTCTTGCTTTAGTTTTCTCAACAACAGGTGCATCTACAAATGTGTTCTACTGTGGAATAGCCTAATTAGTAGGGTTGTACAAAGCTTCAGTTGCTGATTCAATTCACAGGAGATTTGGCCCGATTTGGTGGCTGAATCCAAATCAAATCAGGAGACCAATAAAAAGGTCTGAATCAATTCAAAGCCTCCAAATGGATTCAGAAAAGATTCAGAGGAGATTTGGAGATTCGGGCAGTCCCCACTTGCTGCCACAGTCCCCACTGGACCCAGATTCCATACCGGTAAGTAGGGGGTGAGGGGCAGGGGCTGGAGGAGGGGGAAGCGGACCATGGGGGGACCCCCACCAGGTGCCATCCCCTGCATGCTCCTGCAGCCCCCCTGAGTGCCCACCAGCCCCCACTCACCTTCCCAGCCCCATCAATGGCTGTCCTGCCCAGCCACAGAGTTGCAGCAATTAAAAAAAAAAAAAAGCCCCACACGCACCAGCTGCTGCAGCAGCCATCAGGGCCTCTGGGGGGCTTGTGGCAGAGCCCTCCCCATGCAGTGTGGGGTAGTAGGGGACAGCAGGGATCACGCCCCCCCCCCCGGCTTGGGGGACACACTGGACCTGGGGGCTTTTTTTTTTTTTTTTAAGTGTTGGGATCCTGGGGCTGGGCAGGGCAACCATTGACAGGGCTGGGAGAGTGGCGGGGGTCTGGAAGATCATGGCAGAGCCCCTCCAAGCTATGCAGGGCAGTGGGGAGCAGTGAGAGACAGAGGGGATTGCACCCATGCCTTGCAGGAGCTGGTAAGGGTGGGAGGTTTGTTTGTTCTTTTAAGTGCCAGGATGCTAGGGCAGGGCGGGGCAGCCATTGACGGGGCTGGGAGAATGGGCAGAGGTTGGAGCCTGTTCAGTCCAGAGATTTGGCTGATTCGGTGGTGGCCAAATCTCTGAATCAGATTTGGCCGAATTGATTAGGGGCAGTGATTCGAATCACCAAATAAAATCACTGTCCTCCAAAGCAGCTGAATCTGAATCCAAAGTGAATTTGCACAGCCACTTCACACAGGCCTACTAATTAGCTCCATAGTAAAGCATCACCATTTACTAGGGGTGTGCGAAATGGGCTGTATTCGATTTGAATTCGGATTTGGCCTGAATCAGGGACAGCGATTCGATTCATTGATTTAGATCACTGTCCCGATTTGATTTGGCCGAATCCGAATCTGAAGATTCGATGCTGATTCAGAGAATCAGCAATTTAGCCATGGACACAGCTCTAAATGTTTTTTCTACATACCTCAAGGTACCAGGCGTGGCTCATGAATGCTGCGATGGTGGGGCAGATGGACATACGAGCATGGGGGGATGTACTTCTGGTCCACTTCCAGGTCTGCCGCCAAGCACACAAGTGACCCCCTCCCCATGCCTCCCTGGCTTGGCAACAGGCCACGGCGGAACCCCAGGTGCCCCTCCAGACCCAGGAGATACCAGTCACGGAGCTGGGGGGGATCCCCAGCATGCTCCCCATTGGACCTGAAAGTGCTTCTGGTCCACTTTAGGGTCCACTGCCAAGTGTGCTGGGGACCCCCCTGCACTCCTGTGGGAACTTTCCAAATCCCTCTGATTTGATTCAGAGAGATTAAAGGGTCTCCTGATCCGATTCAGATTTAGAAATTCTGCCACTGAATAGGGCCAAATCTCTACCAAATCGAATCAGCAATCAAGCTTTGCACTGCCCTACCATTTACACGTGTGTTGGTTTTAGGGCACAGTAAATTAATTCACCCCACTGTAAGATACTACTGTCATTTACTGTGCTACCATGCACATTTGGATGGTGACCAGAACAGCAGCACTTTGAGCCAGGGTGGAGCAGCCCCAGGTTAGTAGCAGGCTTTGTAGTTTCTGCATTCTTGTGCCCCAGACAGCTCCTCTACCACCCAGGGCTGACCCCCTAAGCCTGCTGCCAGCCCAGGGCTGCTCTGCTCTGGCTCAAAGTGCTGTTGTCCTGGACATACATGTAGACGCTGTGCCTGGGAGCAGTGTACTCCAGTGCAAACTGCTCCAGAGCTTATCACGTTGCATTAATTGCACATGTAGATGCACCCTGTAAAGTGGAAATATAATTACCTACCTACAGAGGTGGAAGAATTATGATGACAAAGTAGACAGTGATGATAGGGGCCTCATAGTACATATGCCTTCTGTGCAGCTGGATATTTGTCCCTTTTTCAATGGTGATGGACTGCAACACAAGAGACTAGGCTCATCTGCAGATGCTGGAGAGAAGAAGATTCTTCCTAACACAGACATGACTCAGGTGCAATGTGAGACTAGTAAAGGTGTCATATGCCCCAAAGCATCCTCTCTCTCTCTAACATCCCACTAAAATCTCTCAGCCAGTCTCTTGCAGCCTGCTATAAAAATGTCAAGCAGGAATTGCTCATGATTTTAGGTGTGGGATTGGGAGAGACAGGAGTATAGTGAAAAACAATTTTGCATTTTTGTCCAAACTACAAATTCTAACTTTAAAATGGAAATCTATTAAAATGAAATCTTCATTCATGTAACATAATATATGATGCATCTATGTCCGTTTAAAAAGGTCCTCTTCACATACACAGGTTCTCTTTTGGTTGCTCAACCACATTGGCTAATTTCTTTGTTTTCATTCATTTTCCTTTCTCAGTATTAATAACTGTATAAAACAGTAGTTATCCACCTTTCAATATTTCCCACAACAACATGGGATAGGACTTCATAAGACACTAAATCCAAATTTCCCATATCAGAGGCATCTTTGTCAAGCAATCCTGTTCATATACATATATAGTGTAAATTACTTACTTAGGTCTGCCCTCTTTCTACTGGCTCTACCCTCTTTGAAGCGAACAAACAAAGGGTTACTACTCAGACGCTGGAAAAAAAAGAGGTTGATTAACCATGGGCATGCATAATTTATATGTCGTTTGAGCATCCTGTGAAAATGGGCCAACAATGTTTTTTATAAATTGGACTCTATGAATTCTAAATTATATTTAGTATTTATTATTGCTGGAGAAGCTGTACCAAAGTGACACTATTTATATATTCTGACTCAGTTTCCTTTTACCTAACCCATTTGAATTTTAAGGTCTCTCTTCTTCCCGCATCTTTTCATCTGTCTTCTCTTTAGGCTGCTAGTATACTGTACATGTCCTTACTGAAGTGCTGGGTTTGGTTTGTTATAGCAAAACCAGAGTTTGGATTTGTTTCAGAATTCCAGGACTCCACGGTAAGGAAACTAGGAAGAGGTACCTTGCAAGCTTCATCTTATCAGAGGTAGCATGTTGACTGTGCTATGACAAACCCTGCATGTGCCTTTAAGAAACAAAAATTAATGCAAAGCTTATTACAATCCTGGTGGTTGCTAACGCTTTCTCTCTTCCACTGTCCAAGTGTCTGAATTTCAGCTTCAGATGAGTGTGGCCTGCTGGGATTTGAGCTGCCAGTTTAATTAGTGTTCAGTAATTTCAATAATGAGTGACAATTCATTGGGGCTTTTAGGTTGGTCTTCTGTTCAGAAGCAAATCAATAATCCACAGTTTTTCCCCTTCTTTAAAGACAAGAAAGTGGCATGTGAGTTACATCAGATGAGAGAAAATAAATGAGGAAAAGCACAAGTCCCTCAGTAACTTGAGAGGCAATTGGCTTTAATGGTGTGGGCAGCCTCCCTGGTTTGTTGATGTTATTGGATGAACAGAAAGGTCATTAGTATCTGGAAAGGGGCTCCTAAGATTCTCACAGTAAACAATTTGCCCTGGCTGTAACCATAGTGATTTGGGTAAATGAACACAGGTATACGGATTACTACTGTATTCCCTAGGCTGCCTATATTATTGCCTCAGAAGATATAAAAACAATTGAGGCTAATTGTATGAGAGTGAGTTTATTACAAACATAAATGGAAGGGGAAAAGAAACCAGATATATTGTTCAGAAGCTTTTTTTTAATCTCTTAATTTTATATGTACACATGTACATATGTACAATGTACAATATATTTGTCGGAGAGCAATGTAGCTATATACACGGACGCATGTACTATGTGTATTTGTTTTGCATCCACCTTTAATTGAGATCCATGGCTGTGCTGAGCTTATTCTTCATTGTTTAGGAGAAAGAAACGGTTCTTTCTAGATATTGTTTTGCTTGAATCTCGTGCCTCAATGCATTTGAATATGGAGTTTTGAGTAGATAGTCATCTTGCAAAAATGCTGTAAGAATTGTAGTTACACGCTTTTTACCCTCCTTCATGGTTGGAAACTGAACAAAACGAAGTGAGTTGAAAGTGAAGAAAAATGCATTTATCTCATCTAAGGTATGGTCAGGTTTACCAGCCAATCACTGCAAAAGTCACCTATGTTTCCATTGGTATCCTGCCAGTATACAGTAGCTGCATTTTTTAAAAGTTGCATTGCTCTCTTTTGTTACAGCAACAAAGAACCACTCTTCATGAAGTGTTGTGATTTGCAGTATACAAACCCATTAAAAAAACACAAATGAAATCCCCAGCTGGGAAGGTCAAGTCTAATGAGGTGGGCTGTTGTGAGGAGTGGTAACTCACAGCATCCCCCATGTAGGCCAGAGGTGATTCCAAGTGAACAGCTGCTTATAATTATTATAATCTGACACTTTTCATCTACCTCAGGTGCTATTTTTTTCTCACAAGAGAGCAGATTAATTGTATATCAACTGATATACATAAAAAAGGGGTTGATAGAAAGCTTAATAAAGTAACATTAAATAGGCGATCCCACTGAAATTCTAATGTGTATATTCTTAATTAAATTCCCTTGTACTGTACAGTAATTCAGGTGCATTTGGATTCCTTTTTCCTCCACTGAATATAAAGTTTAAAATTATTGTTGCTATGAAACTGAAGGCAAATATGAAGGGAAAAAACCCTGCAAACCTGACCCACATAGGCCTCTCTTATGGAGAAGAAAAAAAAAATCAGTTAATGCTACATCTCTCATTCTGCACTGTGTCTACACAGACCCTCCGTATTCTAATGCTAAAGAATATGCTCTCCCATTAGAATTTCAATAGAACCCTGCTCCCAGGTGAAAAGGCAATATCCACATTAAAATGAAGATATTATTAAAAAAAGTACCATGTGCAGCAGTCTATTGACATCACTCTGGAGGGAAACTGTTGATTTAAAGGAGGATAGGTATCTGGATAGCTACTTAAATTGAACATTTAATGGTAATAATTCAGCCGTTATTTAGTAGTACACATGAATTAAATCATGCAAACTCACTTTATGGAATGTCTTTTTTAACAAACAGCAAACATGTAAACGAATATTGCACAGGGTATGAACTATTCTAATTAAGCCTGCTTTCCAAATATTGCCAGAGTATTATTATATTGCACGGTTCATTTTGTAATGAAAATTTATTTTCAAAAGCATATTTAGCATTATATACAATGTTTAATCATATACATTTAGTGCCAACTGCTGAAAAATGAATGGAGCCTTATGAGTCCCATGGCATTTCCTGAATGAAATGAGACACTCACGGGGCTTGCAAAAGATTTCACTCTTGGCCTATTGAGACCCTGCTGTCTTTCAGTGGTTGGCACTGTGTGTTTAGTAGGCATGTATAAGTAATAGTGAACCTGAAAATGTTTGGAAGTTAATACCATGTGTCCTTCTGTGCTAGGGTTGCACAGGCCTAAAGTATGTTCATGTTAAAGACTTTACTTGCTCATTATAGTGTGTTTAGTTTGCTGTGGTTTGATCATCCTCTACAATAGGGCTGTTCAACTTCAGATTGCCCTGGCCTGCAGGGGCTGCAAGGCTACCTGAGTTCTTTTCACATGCAGCCCCCCTGCCGTGGAAGCAGCACAACCTTCCCCACTGCCACTGTTCCACAAGCCCTACCCACTGCCACCACTACAAGTGCTCTCCTCCCCCGCCACCGACACATGAGTAGCACAAGTCCCCTTCTCCTCCCTCCACTGCTGCCAACATAGGGGTGATCCCTCTGCCCCTAACCATGTAAGCCCCAATGGCACCCCACCAAATGGGGATGTCACCCTACCTTCCTCTGCCTCTCAAACAGCATAAACCCCCAGCCACAGGATATCAGTTGGGCAACACTACACCAAAACATCAAATGTTCATCCAATCGAATCTGGTAAAAAAATGAACTCCTGAAGGTATACAGTGATTTGTGCTATTGCATTTTATGGAGCTTCACAATCATTCCAGTTCAGTGGCAGTTTGACCAATATTGGAACATGATGGTGGGCCCTTTTTCAGTAACTCCTCCATGCAATGTGGAACACTATATCTATTGCTCCTAGAAAAAACATTATTTATATACTCCTACATAGGCCAAAATACTGATCTTATTAGGTATGCCCAGACAAGAGTGCACATGCCTCTCGCAGCATCTTAAATCCCTTTGAAACACTGCAAGAGGCACATGCAGGAACCAAAAAACATTCCCCATGCTGCAAATTTGCAGCATGGAGGCAAAATTAAACCCTTGGATATCCAGGGGTCAAAAAGTATCCCAGGGGAAAAAAGTGGGGCAGGGCACAGTCCAGGACCATGCCTTGAAGTAACCGGAGGCTCAGGTCCTACACAGAGATGCTCTGGTATCCAGAAAAAGCATCTCTATGATTGGCCCTCACCCCTGTGCTGAAGCACGTTGCCTGCCTGTGCTGGGCAGGCAGTGTGCCAGCTGCAGGGAGCTGGACCCAGGCTCTATGCCAGTAATTAGGGG